AGCTGTGCAGGGGCTTAATCCCGCAAAGCTTCCATAGCTGTTGGGTCAGTTCGGCCGTGAACTGTGCCCCATGATCTGATAAAATTTCCAGTGGAAACCCTACCCTTGTGAATATCTGCAGCAGGGCACTGGCAACCGTCTCTGCTTGGGTATCCCTCAGAGCCACCGCCTCGGGATACCGAGTAGCGTAATCTACTACGGTCAGGATATATTTCTTGCCCGTAGGACTAGGCTTAGCTAGGGGACCGACCAGGTCCACTGCTATACGGCTAAAGGGTTCCCCTACAATGGGCAGGGGTCGTAACTTTGCCTTAGCGGAATCCCCTTTCTTCCCTACCCGCTGACATATCTCACATGACCTACAGTAGTCCCGTACTTCACCTGACAGACCTGGCCAGAAAAAGTTCTGGGTCAGACGGTTCAGTGTCCGCCTGTGCCCAAGATGGCCCGCTAAGGGAATATCATGCCCGATCTTCAGCAGATCGCACCGGTATTTCCTGGGCACTACCAACTGCCTACGAGGGATCTGTGCCACACCTCTCCCCGCTCCCCCGGTGATTCTATATAACTTTCCTTGGTCCCACTCAAATCTAACGTCACCCACCCCTCCCGGGTCTCTCCCCGCCTGCTGTCTATAGGACGCTAACGTTTCATCCTCTAATGTCTCCCTCCCAAAGTCCGCAGGCGAGTCCCACCGCAAAGAGGGGGTAAGGGCGTCACAGTCAAGGTTAGAAGGTCTTACCTGGATCCCCTCAGAGAGTGGTTGAGCAGCTTCTCGAACCTGTTGGCGGGTGGTAACGGGGTTTACTTCCTCTCTGGCGACCGGAGCAAAGGTGGAGGTGAGGAGTCCCAAATCGTTGCCAAGAAGAACATCTGCCGGTAAATCTTTCATTAGCCCAATCTCCATATCCCGGGCTCCGGCACCCCAGTCGAGATGTACTCTGGCTGTGGGAATGCGGTATACATGTCCTCCGGCTACCCGGACTGCCACCGAATTACCTGTCTTTGCCGGGCCAGGAATTAGATGTGGCTGGACCAGCGTGAGCGTGGCTCCGGTATCCCTGAGACCTTGAGCCGACCGCCCATTGATGCGAACTATCTGCTGGTGATGCCGTCGGTTGTCCGTAGTGGCTGCTTGCAAGGGGTTGACTTCGTGTAGTATCCCGAAGTCCTCATCTGCGGGGTTGGTTTCTCTCCACACTGCAGGAGTGGATGTTTCGTGGTATGGGTCTCTTTGCAGGCAGTAGGCAGTGGCCCGGGCTGGATTGGGGCTGAGTCGAGCAGGCGGCTGACGACTCCGTCTCTGGGGACAGTGATCACGAATATGCCCAATTTGGTTACAGCCATAGCATCTTGGCCCAATTCTGCGGGGCTCCGCGACTGAAGTGCACCTTGCTGGTACAGGCACAGGAG